AATAACGTCTGATAAGTGTTGCTTTATGTAAATTTATCTCTGCATCTAACTTTCTATTTGCTTTATGTAAAATTTCGTAGATATTTTATTTTAAAACGCAACCACATATAACTAGAAGTTTTATTAAAATGGCATCTATCAAATTCGTGAAGACATTTCAGTTTTCATGACTTGTACTTTGATAAATGGATTAATAACAGTGCAGGAAGTGTAATAACAAAAAATGTTACATTTGACGGATGCTATTACTTCAGAAACACTCGGCATTATAACAATAAGCACAAAACAGAATTAAACTCTGTGGTGAAACTTAAAAAAAACACAGCTATTCTAATAAAAGCACGAAAATTTAACTCTACGGTGTCATCCTTTGGCTCTAAGGGTTATGTTTTTACTGCAAGCCTATTTCAGTGTCATAAAAAGTAGAAGAAATAATAAAACGCAAGATAAAAATTACTTGTTTTTCTTTTAAGATTCATCCAAAAATTTCTAAATTTTAAGAATTTAAATTTCTCTAATCCTGACATATTTGAAACAACCAAAAAAATGAGGGAGTTTCAGACACTTTTAGAAGAGATTGTCAACTATGATTGTTCAAAGATTAAAAAAATCCCAACATCTTAGAATTTGAAAATTTCACAAAACCAAAATATCGAGATTTAGAAACAAGAGGATTTTGATATTCGAGAAATGTTGAAATTCTTTACTGTTTTATAACTTCTGAAAGAAACAACTAATACTATTTTACATGTAACCGGATCCATTTTAATCAAAACTTCCGGGTGATGATTAAACGCTTCAATTTCTCACAAGGAAAATGGCAGGCTACATGTATAAGGACCCAAGAAAGTCGTATTTTCTGGTAATTAATCCCCGCTGCCAAGCAATGTTGTAAAATATTGATCTCTACTTGAAATGAGGAAAACATTTTGAGATATGAAGAAAAATTCAAGTAACGAGATTAACAAGATGCTTTAAATTATTTTCAATAAATGATCGAGTGGAATTCCAGTTTTTCACGATTCACAGTAATTAATTCAATCATTTTTTGATTGCGGACTCAAACATACAAAAACGGTGGAGGCGCCAGGCTAGTAAATAACTCATTTTTTATTGAAAAGTAATATAAATTAAACAAAACGTCGAAGCTTTCGTTTGATTTCACTTTTTGTGAAAGCTCTTTCAAACGTTTCTGTAGCAAATAAAACTTTTCTACTACGGAAATTGGAACAATAAAATAAATAATGCATTTTGTTGCTTTTTGTGGCAAAAGTACTGAAATTTTTTATTTTGTTACAGTATATTTTCATGTGCACTTCCCAAAGTTGACTTTCGAAACTATCATTTGGTTAATGTGAGTTTAACGTGCAGTGGTTTTCACGGTTACAGGACCGTAATATAAGTTACATTCTCTTGTGATTTGTGAAAATAACAAATTTGAAAAATTTGATTCAAAATTGAATTTTGTTTTTCAACAAAAAAGCACTAAATTTGTTCAAAAAAATTCAGAAAATTGCAAAAATGTGTTAAACTTATAAAACAAATTTCAGCAATAAGAAACACAAAATTTGAAATTTTGAATTAAATTTGCAAAATTAAGTTTCAAATGAGCCTTTACGCCTGTTTTTTGCCCAGAGCGCACCCTAAATGTGAGAGATTTGGCAAAAATAATACAGACAATTTAAAAAAATCATCTGTTTAGAGAGTTTTTCACCAAGAAAATCACTGAATTTGAAAAATTTTATTTAAATTTCCAAAATTAAGTCTCAAAGAAGTTTTAACAACAGATAATTTATAATTTTTTTAACATTAATTTTTAATAAATTTTTTGTACATTTATAAAATGCATAAATATATCTTTGTAAAACAATAAATAAAAAACCGTTTTTTTAAGAAAAAAATTATTTGTACGGTAATCCCAAAAGTTTAAACAATTAATTAAAATAAAAAAAAAATTTGTCATCGTTCCTTTACAACCTTAATTCTTATACGTCAAATATTTTTTCAACAAAAAAGTGTGAGGTTTACAAAAAAAAAATTGCACAGCGATAATTCTTGTAACAAGCTTGTTGTCTAAAAAAAATGTGGTAAGTTTCCATTTTTAGACAACATTTTGAGATATGAAGAAAAATTCAAGTAACGAGACTTAACGAGATGCTTTAAATTATTTTCAAATAAATAATCGAGTGGAATTCCAGTTTTTCACGATTCACAGTAATTAATTCAATCATTTTTTTGATTTGTTTGATTTTTTTTTTGATATGAAAAAATGGTGGAGGCGCCAGGCTAGTGAATAACTAATTTTTTTATTAAAAAATAATATAAATTAAACAAAACGTCGAAGCTTTCGTTTGATTTCACTTTTTGTGAAAGCTCTCTCAAACGTTTCTGTAGCAAATAAAACTTTTCTACAACGGAAATTGGAACAATAAAATAAATAATGCATTTTGTTGCTTTTTGTGGCAAAAGTACTAAAACTTTTTATTTTGTCACAGTATATTTTCATGTGCACTTCCCAAAGTTGACTTTCGAAACTATCATTTGGTTAATGTGAGTTTAATGTGCAGTGGTTTTCACGGTTACAGGACCGTAATATAAGTTCCATTCTCTTGGTTTCCAGGGGGAATAATTGTTCCAAACATCTTGAGCCAAATGTGTTAGAACACGTGACTAATCAAAACAGACATTATTCGTGATGTGATATTTGAGCAATGCATAATTATGTAAAAACTTTGCGAGTTTTAGGTTTTTTTCAGTTATTTCTTCATATCATTTGAAGTTGTAAAGTTGGCAATCTGTTATTTAGAACAAAATTGCGGTTTAAAATTTAAGTGTTTTTTTTTACTGAAATCTGTTTATAATTTCAAAAAACAGGGATTATTAATCGAGTTGGAATTTTAGATGAGATCAGTATCGTTAACTCAAAATCTTCTAACAAATTAAAATTATAATAGGATCAAAATTTCAGATATTGGATCTATATGAGAAAAACTTTTCATTTTTTCATTTCATTCAATTACATTTTTTCAATTATTTACGTAATTACCTGTTAAATAAGAGTGTAAAACGTTTTTTAACTTAACAAAAACAATACTATTTGACAAGGATATTATAATATAAAATTTTATTATACCGGGTAAATAAAAAGTATGGAACCAAGCATTTTTTTAGTCTTTTTAGTTTTTTAGTATTGCAAAAAAAAAATTAATGGCAACCCACCTGCCAATTTTTTTTATTAAAGATTATATGATCTAAAAATGACCTCTAATTCAGGGTTGTACCCAAGGGAGGGGATTAGGGGGTTCAAACCCCCCCGAAATGCTGAGCACTTTGTTATATAGTGTTATAAGTGTTAAAAATTTAGTTTTTTTGTTATTTTAGTGAGTTAATTTTAAATTTTTGTGAATTAATTTTTCATGTGTTACTTATAGTGTTTCATTTTTATTGTTAGGTACAAATTTAAATAGTTGATAGAATATTTAATTTTACGACAAAAGTGTTTCGAAAAATGCTATGAAAGGGAGCTACACCCCTAAAGAAGGTACGTTTTTTAAAGAGTTTTTATTAATATTTCAGAATAAATAAAATTACAAAATTTGGTACCTTTATATGTACACCTAAACAAATGCCAAATAAAATTTTTAATCAGGGGCGTCCTAAACGGTAAAACGAACTTAATTTTTAATTTTCATGGTCTGTAACATAAATTTTTAAGCCGATTTTTACTAAAAATCCGTAAATTGTATCGGAAAAACACAAAAGACCTTTTTTATGAAAAACTATGAAATTTTGTTGCTGAAAGTGGCAGAAACCACAGGCAAAATAGAGTAAATTTTTACCCTAATCCCATCTAGTTTAAGAAGCCCCTAATTAAAAATTTCAACATTTTATTTTTGTACTTGTTTAGGTGTATAAAAGTTCATCTGTACCAAATTTTGAAATTTTTTTCTAAATTGATTTCGGAAATATTGAAAAAAAACTATTAAAAGACGCACCCTTTGCGTAACATTTTTCGATATACAGGGTGCGCCAGAACTCGCGCCCCAGAGAAAATTTTCAAGTAAGGTAAGATACCAGGAACATGAAAAAAATGTTTAAAAAATTCTATCTGTCAAAAAATTTTGACATATATTTTTTGACATTTGACATTTTTTTATATCTATTTAATGATACTGATGATCTTGTATATGTTTTTTTTACAATTATTTAGTAAAGGGACAAAAATCTTGCCAATAAAAGCCACAAATAACATTGAACAGAGTTACAATTTAGAGTACAGCTTCCTTGTTTCCTCTTTTAATAGCCTATAGCAAAAAAACTTGGAAAATTATTTTTCCAACAGAAATACATAGAGTCAAAGTGCAAAATTTAAACCCTCATAACTTAGAAATTTTTATAGATAAAATTTTTTTAACATTTTTTCTATGTTCCTGGTATCTCACCTTATATGGCATTTTTCTCTGGGGCGCGAGTTCTGGCGCACCCTGTATGTTCATAGAAAATTTTTGTTTTAAAAATGAATATTCTATCTCCTGTTTAAATTTGTAACAATAGAAAGTATTAAAAATTTATTTAATTTTTTGTTACTTTTGTGAGTTAATTTGTATTTTTTTATGTTTAATTAGGATCTCTTATTTCAATTTAAAATAAAAACGTGTACTTAAAGATTTTTGCTTTTTAATCCGTCTTCTTTAATTTCATTTTCATGGATCAACAAGAAAACCCAATCCTGGTTACGGCCCTGCTCTAATTAACTAAAATTGTTATTTTATTTAATTATATATTATTTTAATTAAAATTGTTATTTAGTTAGTAGTTTTTTTTTAATAAATTGTTTTGTGTTCCGAGGTGAAACGACTACATCGGTTATGTCTTTAATTAAAAAAATTGTCACAGCAGGTTGCCATTAAAATTTTTTTTTTGCTAAACACGAAAATTTATTCTTCAAAATATACTAAGGCTGAATATTGCAAAACACAGAAAAAAAATCAGTTTCTTACCTCCTTGCAACGACGGATAAATAAAAAACGTTGGTTCTTGAATCCACGAAATAATCCGAACTAAGTCTTTAACAAAGGGCGGTATTATACATTTTAACACTGCTGTACATCCCCTAGCCGCACCGGTAACTTCCACCTCCACTCTAAACGTTTGTGCAACCACTGAAACAATAAAAAAGTTATTTCATTAAACTGAAATTTTTCTTCGCTCGTCATAAAATTCAAAGATTCAAGTTGGGTAAAATAGCGCTTCCTATTGACCAAACAAGCAAATGTAGTTGCAGTGTGTTCATAATTTATGATAGCAGGACTTTGATTACGGTTTCGCCTATTCGCTTGCGGTCTATTCAATACAGCAGGAATGCCGGGGAAACACACACACACTACAATATGCAGCCTTTGTGCTGCAGGAATCACACATACAGGCTGGTCCAAAAGTCTGGAAACGATTTTATTCTGGCGAAACTATCGATTTTTTAAATTTTTTTCAGCTTCACTGACCTCGTCCTTTTACTTTTTTATAGAGGAATAACGTTCAAATACTATTCCTTCTGTATATTTTTCCATTTGTTATAATCATAATAATAGTGAACATTTAAATTTTTTAATGTTGTAAATTTTTTATTTTTTATTTTAAAGTGTAACAATTTTCAATGGTAAGTCATATTGTATTAATATAATTTATGACTTACGGCGTTTTTTAGTTTTGTTAATATAAGGCTGATGATGGCGCAAGGGTGCCGAAACATGTCCCAACTTGACTAAATAAAATTTATCGATTTGTGGAGTTAAACTATAAAACATCCACTTTGGGAAGAAAGTGGATTAAGTTCTACAATCAATTTTTTTGGTGTCCAATGGCTATAAAAATGCTATTGAAAAAAAATAATTAATTGTTTATACTTACGAGATAAACATAGTAATGGTTTTTTTTAATGGAAACCTACCACAATTCTTACTTGTTACTGTGCAAATTTTTTTTGTAAACCTCACTTTTTTCTTAAAAAAATGTTTAACTTAAAAAATTAAAGAATTTTTTTGAGTAAACTACCAGTTTTTTGAAAATAAATTAATAAAGTTTAAAGGTTGTAAAAGAGCGATGTCAAAATATTTTTTTATTTTAATTAATTGTTTCAACTTTTGAGATTACCATATTAATATTTTTTTCTTAAATAAAAACGGTTTTTTATTGAGAGAGTGACTATAAATTCGAAGGATTTGGCTTAAATAACCTTGAAACTTACGCAATAAGGTCTAAAATTGGATTAATTTGCCTATTTTTTGTGATTTAAATTTGCAAACTCAAGTCTCAAATAAGTATTTATGCCTGTTTTTCGACAAAAATAATTCAGAAAATTGAAAAAATAGGTCCAAAATGAGTTAAATTTATAAAACAAATTTCAGTGATAAGAAACTCATAAAATTTGAAAATTTAATTTAAATTTGCAAAATTAAGTTTCAAATGAGCCTTTTAGCCTATTTTTCACCCTAAATGTAAGAGATTTGGCAAAAATAGTCCATAAAATAACAAAATTTTCATCTGTTTAGAGGGTTTTTCACCTACAAAATCACTAAATTTAAATTTGATTTAAATTTGCAAACTTAAGTCTCATGATTTTTTTTGCCTGTTTTTCATCAAGAAAAAATTGAGAAATTTGGAAATGCTGCAAATAGCAAATTTCTATCTGTTTAGAGAGTTTTTCATCAAGAAAATCACTAAATTTGAAAAACGTATTTAAATTTGCAAAATTAAGTCTCAAATAAGTTTTGACAACAGATAAAGTTTATAATTTTTTTAACATTAATTGTAACATTTTTAATATTTTTTTTAGACAACGAGCTTGTACAAGAATTGTAGGTGTGCAAATTTTTTTTTGTAAACCTCACTTTTTTGTTAAAAAAATTTTTCAATTACAAGAATTACTCTTAAAGAATTTTTTTGAGTAAACTATCAGTTTCTTTTGGAAATAAATTAATAAATGTTTAAAGG